AAAGAGTTATTATTTGTCCAGGAGCAAGCTTGGACTTCCTGTTCAAGTTCACCCTTACAACACAAGGCCTTGTCTGCACCACCTGACTTGCCACACTACACATCTCCCTGCTCCTTGGTCATCAGTCCAAATCTGGCTCACGTAGGGGCACAGTGAACTCAGCACACTGAGTCCAAGGAGAAACAAGACTGACCATGACCATCTGCAGCCAAGTGCACTCAACCTCTTCCTTCTCCTTTCCAGGAAGGCCACAGCACAAGTTGCACCAGCAGCCATCAGATCAGTACTAGTGACCAGTGCCCCAATATGCCCACTGCCACACCTTTCAGTGCCAGCATTTGTGCCAGACTGCCAGTTCCTTCCTCAAATCTGGTTGCTTACTGGGAGAGCCAAAGTACAATGGAAAGAATCATTTTCAGAAAGCAGGCAGAAGATAAATATCTCATGGCAATGAGGTGCCATGCTAACACATAGAACTTTCAAGCAAGGCTTAAAAACTCCTCATAGTGGAAATCCTGCAGTACAAGTTATGTAACACACAGCAGGGACCAGCTTCCAGCATTAAGTCTCCTCTTGCTGGCAAGATCACTCTAGAGTTCCTTAAAGCATCCAAGTAGGCACAGACACTTACCACCATGGTACGTCCAATGACACTACGTGGTCCGCTAAGAGAAATGACGGAATCTTCTATTGCAACTTCTGCCACTCCTCCTTTAGCAGTCACATTGCCAAGGTCTCCCACATGCCTACAACAAAGACGCAGAGAAATTCAAAACCTGGCTGAATTAAAAGCTCTTCTTAGTGATGGCCTGGACAACACAATGCCCACCATTACTACACTCTAGCAGTCAACCATCTTATCTTTAACAGCACATGGACCTTCATTTACCACCAGCCCATCTTTAACACCTGGGCTATTTTAACTGCTTTAGTTTAAGGTATGATTAAAACCCAGTCCTAGCTAGAACTTGAAACTGGAAGGTTAATCAACTTTGGGAAAAGGAATACCATCACCTCCTAACAAACCAAGGCACCAGTGCACAGCTCTTACAGGCAAGAATTCCCTCTATGCTGATGGCATCTCCCTCTGCTCAAAGGAAGTCTCTGAAATTAGGTGGAAACCTTTCCTGCACATACAACATTTGGTGTGAACACTGCTGCTATTCTTAAGAGCTTTTAATGTCTACTGCAAATTAAGTCACTCCACAAGCAGCTGCAGGTTTAAATAGGATTAGTAAAAGCAGTTTGTCAAGTGGCAGGTCAAAGGGGGACGCACCAAGTGCTAAGTTCTAATCAGTGTCACAGACTACTATTGCATTTATACCCTACCACACAGCTTTTAGCAGAGCTAGATCTCCTCTAGGACTTCCCTTAATAATTAAGGCTCAGTTCAGTTTTCTCCGAACTTCTGGACATTCCACCATATCGTTTCCCACACATCTGCCACAAACAAACCATTTACTCAAAAGACAAGTTGATGATGTTCTGCAAGACTTCTATCCAGGTTCAGAACCTCAAATACAAACTTGTTCCTAAAACTGCCCATGCACACAGCATGAGAGCAGTTCAGCTCACTGAATGCTGGCCACCAGCTTCTTAGCTTAGCACCAATTTAGTATTTTTAACCAAATTCCACAAAATCAGGTCAAGGATGGTTTCTCCTTAGGAATTTGCTCATTTTAAGCTTCCAGGAAGCTGCAGTCCAATTGTTTCCACTCTGATAAAAGCATGATCTAGTTCTTATACCCACCTAAGGAATTACCCAGCCTGAGCACACAGGTTACACTAGAAGCAGGATATGACAAGGCAGAACCAGCAGAAGCCACCATGTTCATGCCATTTTGACCTTTAGCACTGGAGCAGTTGGCTGCCTGTGAAGTGCATGAGAACACCATTTCATGCTGATCTGTCATCTGGACAGTTGGCTAGCAGCCAGCTTGCTTGGTCTGGCATGCAACTGATCACGCAGGTATGAATTTATCAGTCACAGAAGGAGCAGTTATGGACATGAATGTGAACATTTCAAGGCTAATCACAACACCAAGTTGGTACCAACAACAAACCAGCGTATCCTGAACACTTGCTCCTAGCTCCACTCACTACCACACTGGTCTTCAGCTCTGTGAAGCACTCTCCCACCCTAGTCAGCATACTATTTAAAGTAGTTGCTCAGACATCAGGTCTCAAGCATGCAAGGCTTCCCTCAAGGTAACCAGAGTATGAACACTGCTTCAAGAAGAACTAGGTCTGAGCTCCCCCTGAAGTACAGAGATAATTAAGCATAAGCATCAGACCCAGCACTGACACAGCCCCTTGAGAACCACTTACTGGGGACAGTACAGTACCTCAGCTAACATGCTAAGAATACCCTAGCACACCCAAAAAAGCCACCATGCCTGGGCTCATACACCTTTGTACTAATCTTCCAGGCTCCCCTGAGCCATAGTACCTTCCATTGATGAACCAGTCTCTCACATGACCAACCCACATACAGCTCAAGAGTTTAGGGCCCATGCAGTTGAAAGCTGGTCCCAAAACAAAAGAAAAATCACCACTGACAAAATAAGGCTGTAACATAGGAATCCCCCATGCTCACATCTGGAGAAACATGCACTCAACAACTTACCTTTATTTCCTCCTTTCCCCAAACTATGATAAAACCAAGAAAGTCCCAAAGACTACATTATACCCAATACTCTTGAAGCCAAAGCATCTAAGAAATCACAACAGAGTTACCAGAGCCTTAGTTAGCTGATCCTAGAAGTCCCAGAGGCATTTTATTCTGGTAACATCCTAGCATTAGTCATGAAATGGCCTCCTCAAGCACAAAGTAGCACTTAGAAGGTCACTGCATGGAGTAGCTACCCAATAGGATACCAGGCACGTTAAACCCACCTTTCTGCATCAGTTGGTCCACCATGCTGCTTGCCTTCAGGATTGAAGTGGGGACCTGCACTGGTACAACCTGAAATAGGACACAGCCATCAAAAGTAATGTAGTTTCCTGGGGTTTTTTTTCAGTAGCCAGTTTGAATCTGCTGCTTATACACTACAAAATAGTAGTCCTGCTATACCAGAGGAAGTTAAGTCACTAATGATTTCATAGCTACTCTCCTGTTAGATGTTCTACCAATACTCTGGAGGTAAATAACCTACTACAGACTTAGAGGTTCAATAAAGTAAGATTACTCATTCTATAACACTCCAGGCTCAGCTAAAAGATCTCTTATTCTCAATACTAGGTAACTAAAGTAGTTAGGTTAGTGCTTGCTACATCAGATTTTGAACACCAGCCTAAACATGTTCAAAGTATTAAATGGGAAGCAATTCCTTAGGAAAGACAGTAATTTCTTAACACAGACTTGCAGTCATAAGACTCAAGTATATTTGCACAAGTTGCTGCTGCAATGCAGAGAAACTCTTTAAAGCTGCACCATGCCATTACAGCTGTAACTCAAAAGCTGGGATATCTTACCATTTGTATTGTCACCAAATTCATGGACGTGGAAGCCATGATCTCCATCTGC